TTTATAAATAAATAAATACATAAAATCAAGATGAATTGTTCGCTTTATTCTCAATAGGTAGAATGCCGGGACGAACTTGAAATGCGACTTACTCATGAGGAAACGCCTGTATCAAAGCAGAGTGTTATATTTTTTCCAGTATCTGCGCATGTAACGGTATACAACTCACCCGTCAAACAGCCAGTATCGGGGAAATAGTTGCCCTTGTTGCGTTCAGATGGAAAGAACAAAACATTCTATTCAGATATTTTGTTATACAACCGCGATTTGAAGAGTCAACCTTTGACCATCCGCTGATATCAGAGGTCGGGGTTAAAGAAAGGAATATTCCTAAGTTGTTATTCATGCAAAAAGAATGCCGATCCCACGCACTAAATTGGATATTAACAGATTATTAATCGTTTAAACCCGTATGAGTTACATAACCAGTGTATACGGTTATCTGTTTTATAGTAGGCTCTGTCCACCTGGCTTGGGTTGGTTTGGTTCGACGCCGTCGGTTATCAGCACACCACGTATCAGACGCCATCACGTGATCAGGTGAAGATAACACGGGCACGAGAAACCTTGGAAAACGTTTTCAATTTCACTGCTAAGCACGTTTATTAGAAACTAACACGTGAAATTATGATAGATATTTGATTCAGTTTTAATGCTAGGCTCGTCAATCCATAACCAAAAATAAAAGACGCTTCATTAAAGTTGATGAGGTTTTTGTTGTTATTGTGGGGTTTTTTTGTGTGTGTGTGTGTTTTTTTTTCAGACAGGTTCTCATAGATACTCCTGTACTCCTGGATACGTATTTCGCCCAGGAATGTGTATTCCTGAATGTGTGTCAGGGCGAAATATTTATCTTCAGTCGCGTTAATGTGCGAATCCGTCGAACTGAAGGTAGTCGAGCGACCCCCCTCCCCCCACACCAGGTGTATAATTACCCTGTCTACCTCCTCCAGTCCATCGACACGTCGGGCCGAATGTCTTTCTTTGTTTGTCAGTGTAATTAACACTTACATTGGCGTGAGCAATATTTGTCAACACTGTATTCCTGTAATACTGAATAGAATGGTATCGAATGAGTAAATATAATATGTCGTGTAATATTCTTGGTTATAGTATGCAAATAGTTGAAAACTGGATCAACATTCAGTTTCCATCAGAAAAGAAACGGTTTTCTTTTTTACATTGTTTCATGAAAGTAGAGATTTATTATCGAGTTTCCAAAAGTCGTTCAACACAATACCGAGAATTGGAATTCCTATCAGCACGTCTTAATGAAGTGACTCTTAGAAATATGGTATGTCAGTCACGTGATTGCAGTGGATGCAACACAACTGTTGTCGGCGAGCCGAACGCGCCCTCGTTGTCGGACGATTGATCGAGCGGGGAATGGCCGGAGTCCTGTCATCTTTTCAATCAACTCCTCATACACCATGATGACGCGAACTTAGTTGATCGTCATCAAACGACATATATAGTAGTTCTCCTTCCGTGTTATATTTTGAATATTTTTGTTGATTACGCTATTTAACAAACACGGACATAGTCCGTGAGACTGCTTCACCATTTTTCTCACCATCAATTTCGTCCAAAAAAAAAATCGAGCCATTTGTTTCCAGGCGACTAACCACCGCTATCTTTGTCAACTGTATTAAGTATTACAAGTATTAATCACACACATTTCAATAGTGTGCTTTGACCTAAAACGCGGCCAGGAATTTACAAAAATGTGCGATTTTATCGCTTGGGTGGGCAGACATATAATTCAATTAATAAGCGTAATTTACTTAAAACGCAGATTGTTGGCACCCACTGTTTTATGGTGTTGTTGTAGTCACAGTGGCAACTGTAAGTGATTACGTAGAAGGTGGATTGTTTATTTTGTAAGCAACACACATACATTAGATAGCAGCCACAGCCGTAGGCTCCCACGAAGACGCCCCGCACACAAGAAGGACGCATCCTCGATACAACTGTCATCCAATGGCGCTCAATGGCGCTCTCTGCGTTAACCCAATGAAAGCCAAAATCATTTTTTGTCATTTTCTGAAAATGAGAAAAATAAACAAGACCTATGGAAATTGTTTTCATTTGACAACAACATTATAGAAAAATAAAATGTACAACAATTTTGGCGAGAAATTTGGTGACGATGATGTGTAAAATTAGTATTAAAGGAAAGAAACATACTATACTAAAAATATATAGGCCTACTTCCCCGAAGTTGTAGGATAACTTTTTCAGCACACGTAGTTATTCTAAATTATACATATTACGACAGAGTTTTTATTTGTAATTGTAGACTTTGAAATAGTTGTTCCTGGGAATATCGGAATACCGTATAAAATTATATGACAGAAGGATGACGTCACTGGATTATGTGTGACCTCGAGTTGCGGAAATGCAAACTAAGTCAGTGAATTCGAGAATGAATGTCTCTTGCCACATATGGAGTTTTACCACCATGTACAAATTACGAGCTTGAGTTGTCAGAATATGATTTGTTGTGATTTAATTATTGTCATCGGAGGAGGTAGGGCAACAGCTTTATTATAAACAGGAGGGTCAATAACAGGAGGGTTGAGATAAATACAAACAATTATGTAGAACTATTTCAAACTTGAACTTATATCACAAAGGCAATAAATCATCCCAACTGGTGACGTTGTTAGACTAATGGCACATATTAACTAACACACGACGTTGCATCACTACTCTGCCCCCAAACTGGTGAAACACAGAAATTGTTGGTTTTAGCCGTAAGTATTTTTATTGCACATGCCATGGGGTACTAAAACTGATATATCATCGGTTGAGTTTTGCACCACAGTCTTATTTGACAGACAAGTCGTCACGGGGCAGTAGAGTCTACCTATATGGATTACAATTATATCGTTTTTCACTAAAAAGAACTTCTTAATTTCCATCATATAAGATTATAGGGAATCATGAATGCCATTTTCCCGTGATCGATGAAGTATCATCTCTGAACACTGACCGGAAGTTACATCCCATGCATCGCACGTGTGTAGGATTCGATGAAGCTAGTATTCCGCGTAACTCAAGTTCACGCTGACATTATTTGAACAATTTTGAACTTAAAATTTGATCTTAAATGTAATGTGCACTGTGTATGTATGGTAGTTATCATGACAATGTGTGGATTTAATGCATAATCTGCCATGGCTGCTTCAGTCCTTCATATTTACTCATCGGTTTGTAATGAATTGATGCGCAGTAGAAACCAATAGTCGCCACTGTGAACCGGATCGGCGCCTGTGCGTTTTACGTCATTGTGATTGGTTCTTACTTCATTGTGACTGGCCTTTGACACATACTACGCGATCGTGGCAGATAAATGATGATCAAAAATTGGTGAGCAAAATTCTACAAGTTATCAGAATTTTCTTCATCAATTCAGATAAATTGGGAATTGTTTCTCCAATTAGGGTCCACACACTTTGAATTTACTTGATTGAAGTAGAGTAGAAGAGTCAGTTACTATGTAATATTTATTATAAGTGATTTTTTTTAACATGGCCGTGACATTGAAATGCATATACCACTACTAGTATATTGGAAAAAAAGAACGTGTAAACTAGAATTTTGGGATATATGAACAGATTTCCCTTTCATTTCAAATCGTCAACCCTTAAATTGTTTCAAGAGAAAATTTTGCTCCCCGTTACGAAAAGGATTGTTATCTGATTTAGTGAGCAAGAATTTGCCTACTTACAAAATGTTGCCCGCCGAATTGTTCTCACCATATACCGCTATATTTTGCTCACCGGCGCTAATCCAATCTCCGCGACGACCACTTGTAACCGAACAGAGCTGAAAGTTGGACTGACGTGAAACTGATTTACTGAGGAGAAGAAGTTTTACCCACTTTTCTTACAACTGAAATTGTTCAAGATTTGAATATCCGATGTCACAATTTTTTTAATTTTTCATTCCATTCGGTCTCAGCACGTAGTTTTTGCAAAATCGTCTAATATTCTAGCACCATTAAAGGTATTTGTCACGGGAAAATGTTTTTTGTCAATTAAACCACCATTTCCCGACATACTCATGGTCAACTTTGTAGCGGCGTATAGCAACGCAACGGCGATTTCAATTTCAAGTTATTTGGCCCATAAATGTAATAGATTTATATGTTTGTTCTTATGTATCGGAGTTCAAATTAATTACATAGCCAGCCCATCCTACTGACAAACCTCGGGGAATAAACGTATCTTGAGCCTAGGCATAAAATTCCCATTATCCGTGTTAGACCACCCGAAAAGAGCCGTGTTTTGGACAAGCGTGGCTTTGTAGAGGAGATCTCTAGAGACATATGTAAAGTAGATATGTATCAGGTGACCTCCAAAGATGCAACACTCATCCCGGCGTTCATCGGCAACACCACTTTAAAATCGTGAGGGGCAAATGTCAATGAGGGTAGTGTATACTGAGGGAAATTAAGGATTTTACCGCGGATTCTGATCGTACTATGGCGGTGTTAACTTTTTGGTGTTAAATATTCCCAGCTTATGAGTAAGTTATCCACGTACTCATTTGCATACGTATCTCTGCCAATAAACAATACCGACGGAGGGTGTCGCCACCTGTTCAGTCATTACTCCCCGTGAAAATAATGGTCGGTTCCAAATAGAGTCGTAAAGATATAAAAGAAAGGAGGTTGGTTGGAGTTAATGACATTACTGGTGTTTGCACTACATTGTTGAGTTTTGTATACTTACGTTGACAGACCTCAACTTAGTGTTTTTTCTGTAAGTGTCAGCTATCTCGTAAATTCACCGAAAGTACGCAAATCACTGTTTCTTTGCAACGATTAGAGAACAGCTCGGGCTGAGATAGTCATCAGTTACTATTTATACAAAGTGTTGATTCTGACAATATCGTCGCATCGTTGTTCCTCATTGTCACCGGTCACGGTTCTAAAACATCGCTACTGTCATTTGTTTTGGCCGGGGGTTGCGTTCATCACATCGATATACAGCATGAGTCTAGTTAGCGGATATAGCGGCCCACACCCCGTAGCATTGTCGATGTCAAGCGATTGTGCTTATCACCACAACGGAATTCATTCAGCCACCGCTCAGTCGTACCATCTTGAAGACCACGACGGGCCGTATTATCAAAATTGGATCCTGAACGGCGGTGAGTTGTCCCCCACCGATTACTCCATGCAGTGCAGCCCGCCCAATAACTCTTACGAACACGACTTTTCGATGGGTGCCGGTGCGTATCTACCCAAGGTACGACCCGTGAAGCGGCGGTGCAGCGCCAACAAGAAGGAAAGACGGCGTACCCAGAGCATCAACAGCGCGTTCGCCGATCTCAGAGACTGCATCCCGAATGTACCCACCGATACAAAACTGTCTAAAATCAAAACACTGAGACTGGCCACCAGTTACATCTCGTACTTAATGGACTTGCTAGGCAGGGAAGACGCACATAATCTTTCTCCGAGTGAGTTCCAAGCAGATATCAGAAGACTGGACCCAAAGAGACGCCACAGCGAACCGGTAAATATTTAAGAATATCTTCCATCTGTGTCCCGAGACCCAAACGCTTTAAAACAGCAACCGTACTTGTTCCCATTCTACATTTCTGTACCATACTTTCACGCTACAAAAAGAATTCTAGAACCAATGCCCAACAAAATCCAACCCTGTTTTAACGCATTTTTTCACGATTTAATTAAGTTGTTGCTAAGAAATGAAAACATTATTTGTATACACGCTCAGTATATTACTACATACTTATTTATATGTGACATGGATCAGTTTTGCCATTGTTGTTGAGGTTCCACTGATAGAACGCATCAATTGTCGCGGCCCAATTTATCCCAGTCCTCTCCGGTTCATGGATTTACAATTTTTGTAACCGCGTAGACAAATATTTAATATTTAAAACGACTAATTCGAGTGTATTTACGTTGCTACTTGTATTCTATAGAGCGGCATGCAGTTCACCACTTTCGAGCCGCACTCGAGTGCTTCTTCAATTGCTCGTTCTGCCACGGTGGAGCTGCCGCTGAAGCGATGGTGCTCAATGCAAATCGTACACTTTAACAGTAATGTGAGCGCATGTCAGCAAGAAAAACACGGTTTCTTAACATGCTTCCTACAATTACCAATTATTTGTTGATAGAGGATATTCCTGTACTTGGACTTGATGGATTAATCTGTTGTGTGTCCGTCAGGCGACCATTCATCACACTAGTTGTCTGTGGTAAACTTGACAATGACATTCTGTACGCTCACTGCCAGGAAGCGCACACTAAATAAATACACACCAATAATATACACGCGTTTTCTACTACTATCCGTGAACTAATGGCAATATTCAACGGAGGTGGCAGATTTTGTGTCCGTACTGTGAAATCATGCCACCACAGAATACAAACTAAAACATGTTTTCTTTGCCATTTGTTGTACCATCATTTTCACCAATTACTCAGTAACAGATAAGTAAACAAAAAACAAAAACATTTTAAAACGCACCTGTGCGTCTTCTAGTTTTACTCCCTTAAAATTGAAGTTGATTTTCGCAAATAAATTACTTAGAAATTTAAAAAAAAATAGCTCAGGACAAAGTTATGCGATTTTTACCACTAAACACGTAAACTTTTTGTAAATTAATTTGCTGACAGTTCGAATTGTCAAGGTCTACTGGACTTACTACAATCTCCTGACTGGGCGTTTTGTGTACCATTTAGGCAAATCGATATTCATACATTTAATCGTGCCGACATACTAACCCATTGTTGGTATGTCGTATGTTGGATGTTTATTTAAAATCGTCGAAAAAAAAACGGTTTTCCCGAAAACCAGCACCCAGAAACATGGAAGTTTAGTGTGGACCAGGAAATTATTTGTCAATGTTGCTGTTTCACCTTGCAAATCGTTCTTAACTCTTGGCCGAACATGTTCAAATCTTAATACGTCATCGTGGTCAGCCCAACGGTTAAGTGCTCTGTAAATGTCGTCGGTTAAAGCTCAGTTCAGCCGCAGAGGTGATCCGAGGTTAAGATGCATGTACTGTGAGTTTTGTGGGTCTTTAGTTGTAAATCGAAGAAAACGATTTGCCGTCGGTATAGAAAACGATGCTTCCACGCCTGTGTCTAAATTATACAAATACGATCAGTTGTCATGCACGATGGAGTCCCGCGTCTACTGCGATTAAACGAATATAGGAAAAAGTCACAGAAGAAAAGTCACACTGGAAAAAAGCAAGTCATGCTAGAAAAATAGTCACGACAAAAAAAGTCGTGGTAAAAAGTCACTAACTATCCAAACTAGTGGAATAGAAGAATCATTAATATTTTTTTCTTTAACACCATGACTTTTTCCCCCGTGCATCGACTAAACCAACTCTCCCGACTAGCTCTAAGACTCTAACGAAGTTCTTCTGAATAATAGAACGAAGTTCTTAATATAATATAATATAATGCAAATATTTCAAGTTTCTGTGAAATATTATTAGAATTTAATCTACCCCATTCTCTGGTAGTGTAACGTTGCTGAACCGTTTTCTACCAGTAATGGTCAATACCATTACACCCACTGTGGATTGCTCCCGTCGAGGTATTTGCCTACTGTGAACCAGCTTGCTCCGGTGGGGACTGTGACAGAACCATCGGTGCCGTCAATTTTAGCGTAATCAACGCCCGACCGTCATCGGACTCTTTTCCAACTGGTAATCAGACTACCCCACCAAAGTCCATGAGAAAGTTCGGAAAGACTGTTAATTTTGTTAAAGATTTTAAGTTATCACTAGTATCTCCCGTTGAATGAGTGCGTCACGGTAACGCGCCTTCTGATGTCGATTTGTTTTGTACTCTACTAAACGGCGTTTTAAACGGTGTTCAGGTGAAACCAGAACATTAAATGACTTGTTTCTTATCATGAATCTTATTTGAAAGCATTTTATATCATATTCAATAACATTTCCTTATTTTCGCTGTTTCACAATAATATTCCCGAATATTGTCACCGAAAAAAAAATTATATTCATTCGTTGATACTCGTTTTTGGTATACGTAATAGTACATGTTTCATATGAAAACACACCGATTTAAGCAATTACTGCTAAAGTTAAATTAAACAAGTTCAAAACAAAATGTACTTGCTATGAAATTTCAGACAGAAGCAGTAGGTTCCGGCGAGGCGGTCAGTAGTCGCACACTGTCAAATTTCCACTGTGCAGATATATGGTATATTTCTTATCTGCTGATAACGCTATCACAAGAACCCGATGACCGCATGCTATACTTTAAAAAGTTCAGTGAACGCCGGATCAATTTCACTTTAATGATTTTTACGACACGAAGTGAGATAAGAATGCGTCTTATTGTTGGACACTAATTGCCAATCATCTCACTAAATGTGCCAATCATTGTGCCCAATCCTCGACTGATCTCTGAACTTAACATATATGAGACGAGGCACCGTAATGAAGTGGTCTCTTCCCAAGTTCACTTGATGAACTGACATATACGAGATACTGAGCCGTTCTACGGTATTTCACTGATAAAATTGTGTTTCATTAAAAGTATTGATTTGGTGATTATAAACTTTATAATATGCCAGGTAGACACGTAATTAGAACAGCAACGTCGTGAGACCAATGCGATGAATACAACGCGCTCTGCAATGTGGCTATCACAGATTATAGAGTACGAGTAATCCCAACAAGCGCACATGGATTAGAGTTTGTGGATTCCATGACAACTTTATTTGTTTTATTTTATTCGCATTAGCTACTTGCCCTACACAGAATTTTCACCAAACTCAAATGCGACTATTTAGTTATTAAGTTAACTGCCGTTAAATCAAATGACCTTATGATGCAATTGGTTTTATTTTTATGCTGTTGTTATTCACAAAACAAAAAAAATGTGTCCAAATCGATAATTATGAAACACTTTTGAAAATTTGGGTAATTGTTACCCCTATACGAAATTCGAGCGCGTGCTGTGTGACTACTGTCTGTCACGCTGCTTTACGGTTGTATGTGGCGTTGTGTGGGTCATCGCCATATAAATATTGAAACGTATTTTTTTATTTCTTTTTTTCAAGGATTCTCGTGTGACCAGCAACCATAATTGCGATAAGCGTTTAAGAGGTCGGACGGGCTGGCCACAACACGTGTGGGCATTGGAACTAAGAAACTGAAGAAATCATGTATATTTGTAGACACCTGATTCGCCAAACAAGATCGGCTCTTGGTATGCATCGGGGAGAAACGAATGACAATAATAATTATTATGTAACAATTCACTGTCGGGGTTGTCTACAAAGCCACGAGAAGACTTAAATCATGCGCGGTTTTCGCCCATGATAATCAGACTTGCCGCACATTCGATCAACGCAAACAACAAGTGACTGTATCGTCAGGTGGACCAATTTTTTGCGCTGTATTTAACACAAAGACGCTGAATTATATAAAATACATAAAGGCCATGGAAGATTTCTCCATAAGGAATTGCGAAAAACAGTATTTACGTCGATTACTTGCCGTTTTGTGATTTTCTGCCCGTGAACTCTACAAAGTTACGTGGTATTGGGCAAGTGAATATTTATGTGCCAAATAAATTAATATAAAGAATAGTTATGATTCATTATTTTATTGGATTAAATTACTAGTTATTCGTATTTTGCTACATTTCATACAATTTCCTGCTTTAAAACGTCATAGTCGTGATCGAAATGCATCCGATGCGACGTACACAACGCACGCATGCATGCAATGTACATTGAACAGGGGATAGTGACTCTTTAAAGTTCGATTTCAAAAGTGTGTTATTTTTAGGTAGCGTCGCGTAAAAACCCGAGTTCAGTGGAACACCACTCTGAACAAATATTCATTTTCTTAGCATATTAGGCAAATATTGTAAAACAAATATTTGAAAGTATCCGCCCAGTGAAATTGAGGTTAATGGTGACATAACTGGCTTGTTTATTGGACCAACGTCAACAACAGTATTAAGTATTGCAGACACGATTACACATTTTATTGGCTTTGCCATTTTTGGTGTTTTATGTAATTACATTATCAGTGCAACAGTACATTTGAATTTAAATTCATCATATTTATCTAAATCTTTGAAGCAATAGGCATGGTTATAGATCATATGCATGACCTCAAAAAGGTCACACATCCTGGTACTTTTTGTGGGTCACAAATTCGATATCAATGAGAGTTTCTAAATTAATTCCCCAACAAATACAAGCAGATATCATGGAAGTTCAAAAACAGTTGAACATGACAAACAAAACTCATTTATAATATTTGAAAAAAAAAGTGTTATAATGTAATAAGCCAACAATGCTGTCAGAAAGTACCCGGATGTGTGACCTTTCAAAGTCACTTATATCACAACGTGTATATTGTTATATTTAGTATATGCTTACCACTCAGGGAATTTTACAGAGTTTACTTTTAGCAATTAGTTCATTGTTATTTTTATTATTATATATTTTATTTAATATTAGTGGCTACGCATACCTGTGTAGTTACAACTTGAATGAATACTTCAGTTTTGTTGCACACCTTCAATGTGTTAGCGTCGCCATTTTTTCTTTTGAATTGTATTGTGTCATTTCGTTTACCAAATTTAATCCTTTATTGCAATAAATATTTTTCTACAAACAAATAAAATATCAGTGTTTATCTTTCCTGAGATAAAAGTGGCAGAGGGTCCCTTGTTGGTGTCCTTGTCGGTAACTTTCTTTGCCGGCGATTGCATAACATATACATACTTATTGGCACCCAATTATACTTGTACATATCATACATATAAAATGTCCGTTTAGTTTGGCTTGAGTGATTCTTGGGTGCATGAATATTTAATGAGATATTGGTTAGCAAATAAAGTCCCAAAATTACTACTTGACTTTACATGCGATTATAACCTGTATGCCCCAGCATTGTTCATAGTGGATCTTACTGGAATGAAACTATAGATGCCCATAGAAACTATACAATGTGGTGATATTGTTTTCACATCATCACTTTTAATATATGTCATTTCCTGAGCAATCCGCTGTACCGGCAACGCCCCTCTCGTTTTACCTGTTGTTACGGATAAAACAATGAACAGCAAGAGTAATGTATATTCAGATGTAGTTAGGAGTATCGCAGTTGTCCCAGTATAAACTCCTTCTTGAGTACATGCCGTCCTCCATATTTACAACATTTTACAACAAGTCATTTATTCGAGTATAAGTCTCTCCTCTTCATACAGGCAAGGAATGTATAAATAAGAATTCATGTAAATTAAGATAATGTAGTATTCAAGTACAACCGACATTCTTATGTGTTATAATGTAGTATTTTGAGAAACTTGTCCTAATATTTTTCAAAAATCGCTAATTTTAGAACAAGTACATAGAACACAATGTTATGAAGTAGCACTTATTGACATATTTTAAAATGCTTTTTTTTAAATAATGTAGGACATCAATAGGTACCCATCAGTCACAACATATCATGTTTTTCAGACTGTGTCAGCAGCGTATAATTTGAGATATGGCATAATATCAATCATTTTCTCAAAAATTAGGCTGGCGACCCAGCGTTTTTAAAGTCAGTATTCTTCTATTGCTTGGGAGTGCAATTTATTGCAAAATGAATAAATTCTGGGTTTCTGTATTTATACGTAGGCTTCTTAAAACCTTAAAACAGTATATATATTGACAACAAAATAATAACTTGAATTACGACGTTTGTTTACATCAACCGTGAAACTAGGTTTGCAATAATCTATTCCATTCGTTTATTTCTGAGTTAACAGGCTGCAAGCTTTACCCAGACGCCATGTAACACCGCCACAACAACAACCAAAACAACCACAGAAATAGTGAGCAAATAACACCGAATAAACGGCAAGGTAAAGACTATGTCTAATTACAGAAATAGTGGGTCTAAATGGGGAATAAACTGATTTTACATTTTCACAAGATGAATTATCTAAAATTAAATCGCTCATCGCCATATTTATATTACATAATATCTATATATGTATAATCTTCCCCAGAAAGTCGGTCTTTTGCCTAGCGTAATATTCAACTTAAATATCTTCTCGTAAACACCATCTGATATTACGCAGACCGCTGATGTACAGAGTTAGCGATTACAAATATATAGCGCCTCGAAATGTTATCAATTATTTAATACCATTCCTTATACATGGATATGAGCATTACTTTATAATTTACTGTCCCTGTGGAAGACTGTTGTTAATTTAATCTTACAGTGGTTAAGTTGGTAACGTGGTCCATTGTGAGGGAGAAATAAATACCCTAACCCATGGTGATCGTAAACACCACAGACACATGTTTCCAGTATCTTGATTAAATAAAACAGCTGATTATGATGTTTAAAAAATGGCCACCTAGCACGTTGATTGTTTTTATTGTTTGTAATATTAAAACTCATGTGCTGGTTTGATGAGTTCCGATGTATTCCTGAATACACGTGGTATGATAATGGCATGATAATGTTGACTATGACCGGGCGGCATCGTATGCAACATGCCGATATGGTTTTACCTCCATGCGTACAGTTTTCATCAAAAACATTCATCGGTACTATAGCTGTAACTATTTGGGGTGATATCCGGACGATGAGTTTAATCAGACGACAGAGTCATTTCCCAGAAGGGATCGTCGTAACGGCATATCACTAACTACATCGTCGTCACTAGCTGCATCGTAAGAAATTACAGAGGAAGAGATTTCATGAACTACAAATACTCGGTACTACTAGTGAATACGGCGATAATTCCGAAATACGGGAATATGGAAATTTAAATAAATCAGGATATTAGGTAGCATGTTTTTGATTTAGCAGGAGTAGTAGTAAATAACGCTGACGGAATAGTTGATGCATGCAAGTTGAACAACCCGGTACATCTCCCAGCTGGCTATATTATTTTACCGCAGGCATGGAACCGATTAAAATCTCGTTCGTCTCGCTAGCTCCTTCATCGGTTTAAATTGATCGAATTTGGATTTGTCTCGCCCCTTGTCGGCACTGAATTCGGCACGTGATGATAGTAAATATTACGGTGAAGTCGAAAACACGGTTTAGGTGAATACCAGAAAAGTATTAAAAGTGTTATCAACGTGTGGTAAAATAAGAGAACGTTGAATCTCGACGCAGACAGACCAAACTTGTTGAGTATCCGTTTCCTATCTCTCTCGAAACCGAAAACATAAAAACCCTAGACTTGTCTTTATCGATGCGTGTGAAAAACTTAGAGCGGTTAGTCAGTCGTTTAATCGATGATTGGTCTTTGTCTTCGAAACTGAAAAGATGAAATTTTAGCCTCAAATTATGGCACTTATTCGTGCGGTGAGCGCGGGTCACAGTGCTCTAAGTGACGCGCCCCGTACTGTCGTGTATGCTACACGTCATAATTGTGAGAAGAACAAACAACGAAAATACTGCTAATTTACAATGCTTGAGTACGCTATGACAATACCAAGAGCAAATCGATCAGTTTTCAGATAGGGACTGAGAAAGATCAGTAAAGAGTTACACTAGAGAACAGACAACTCGTCGCCTGCAATTACATGTACACCACTCGTAACGTGTTTTACTTTTCAAGTGTCTAACCAAAGATTGTTTTAATCGGCATCTTATGTTGTTTTTATTCATGTTGCTATAAATTCGTTTTTTTCACTCTACAAAAACTTAAAATGTGACGTAATTATGACGTTTTCTTGTGATGGTGGTCACTGATAATGCCATTAGCATCCTAAGTATTTTCGTTACACATCAATGCGTGCCCGATGCTTATTCAAGTTGACATATAATAATAATAAACAACCCACAATCATGTGGCTATGTTATGATTTGACATCAAGACCAAGTACAATGCATCGCGGGTTATCATATGGTTACAATGTATCTTCCGTTTCCAGCAATGTCCGTTTCCAACAATGTCCGTTTCCAACAATATCTGTTTCCAACAATGTCCGTTTCCAACAATATCTGTTTCCAACAATGTCCGTTTCCAGCAATGTCTGTTTCCAACAATGTCCGTCAATAATAATGTGCATGAATATGGTGTATGTCATCATTATTACCGCCAAATTCCACAATTATAGAGTTGGCATGGCGATGACAAGAAATTGGGATGTTAATCTGAATTTAAAACCACATTCTTTGTTTCATATTATTATAAATGTACAAATATTTAATATTTTTTTAATATATTTATATTATTAGTCATAATTATGTAGATGTGTTTGTTCACTTTTAAATCTATGTGTTTTTCAGCATGACAGTTAACACAGCATAACACTATTTGGTCATTAGAATCTCATTAAAAATGATGTCTATTTTGTAATACAGCTCGAAATCAACAAATACCTTGTAATGAACTCTATATCATGTGTTCACCTTATGTCACAGGGC